AAACATTCAAAGTGATGAAAAGCAAGAACCTACACCAAGATTGCTCTACCCAGCAAAGTTATCATTTAGAACTGAAGGTCAGATAAAGATAAGAAAAAACTAGAGTGCATCACCACCAGACCAGTACTACATAAAATGTTGAAGGGTCTTCTTTAAGAAGAAGCTAATGAACAAAATAATCTGACAAACTAAATAGATCCAGACACATTGAAGAACGCAACAGATGGTCATATCTCAGAGGGAAGAGGGAAGGGGGGTAGACAGTGGGAAGATATTAACCAAAGAAGTTATATGCATAACCCATGGACACAGACAATAATGGGGTGAAGGCCTGGGGAGGGGGTGGGAGTAAGGTGGAGGGAGTTAATGGGGGGAAAATGGGATACCTGTAATACTTTCAACAATAAAGATAAATTTAAAAAATAAATAAACAAGTTATTTTCTAAATGATGTTGACAATATTGAATTAAAAATGACAATTTGTTATCGTTACTACATAGGAGAGAAGAATGAAGATGGATCTTTGGAGTTTAAAAGGTATCTCCAATGTGGGTGGGGGGGCCAAATACCTTGTAAATCTGTTTTGTGAGCTAATTATAGAAAAATGTCGGACACAAACAGAAATGATGTTTTCCTAAAATTAAGGATAAAGTTTAAAAATTATAATCCCTAATCCATTAACCCATTAACAATTTTGATTTTTAACAATTATATTCTTTCCACTGTGTATGTACGAAAAAATACATAAGCTTTCCGTATATATAAAAATACACATACTGTTGTGTATATAAAATGATACAGCATTTATAAAATACATATACATAGTGATATAAAACCTATCAGTATTTTTATTTTATCATAATAAGCTACTTGTGTTTTCTAGTCTTTTACCTTTTTTTCAATCCTTACCTGAGGATATGTTTTTATTGATTTGAGAGAGAGAAAAAAGTGGGGAAGGGAGGAGAGGAGACAGAGGGAGAAAGAGGGAGAGAAGGAGGAGAGAAACATTGGTTGAGGTAGGAGGACTGGTGTGTGCAGGAAAAAGAAACTACCACTGCATTTAACACGATAAAGGCACCAATAAAAAGTATGATTATTTAGGGTTCTGTATTTGCAAATAAGGGTACTTGCTGAAATTCACCTGTAACTTCAAAATAAATATTCAGAGGCATTTTCTCAGTCTCCCAAAGAGATGGCAAAGCAGGGAATATTCTGAGTTGCTCAATGCACATTCCCAGCTGAGGTTAAACAAGGAAATGCTTTTAGGTTCTTGTTTCAGCTCTCATACTGTAAGTAAGTGTCCTTTAGGCAGAATATTTAGTACCATGTTATTTGCTTTTTGCACTTTTTGTTGGTGAATTTGCTGTTTAAAATGGCTCCTAAGTGTAGTGCTGAAGTTCTGTCTAGTGTTCCCAAATGCAAGAAGGCTGTGATGTGCCTTAATGAGAAAATATGTGTTAGATAATTTCATTCAGGCATGCGTGATAGTGCTGTTGGCCATGTGTTCGATGTTAATGAAATAACAATATATATTAAATAAGGTGTCTTTAACAGCAACAAAAATTTTAAAAAGTTATATACTGATTGGTTGATAAAAAGGTGACCAGAGGTTTGCAGACACCTGACTTTGTATTTCACCAGGGAGCAATGATTCAGTATTCACTAATTCAGTGTTTGTGGTGCCTTTATAGAACATAACTATTGAAAATAACCAGAATTGACTTACATCCCTGGTCCTTTTTATACTAATATAAGATTCTTTAGCATTATACTCTATTCCAACATTTAAAGTTAGACCACTACATTACACTTAATTAGTTTCTGAATTTTAAGTGCACTGTAAATGAGTATTTTCACTCTTTTTATATAAGAGGAAGAATATTGGTTGTATTTAAATTAAAATTATACATTACGAAAAACTTGTTTCAAATGTGTTCAAGTATACCTTTATTGTTTTTGCTCAAAGAGGCTCTCATAAAGTCACTAATATTGTTTGCATGAGCTGTGACATAAATACATAATAATGTATATTGCACAGTTGACCCTTGAACAATGCTGGGGTTGAGGTGCCAACTCCCCAAAAACTTAACTACTAATAGCTTACTGTGACCAGAAGCCTTACCGATAACATAAACAGTTGATTAAGTATTTTGTATGTTATATGTATTACATATTATATTCTTAAAGTAGTTAGAGAAAAGAAAATGTTATTTAGAAAATCATAAGGAAAATACTGTACCCACATATAAGTGGGCCCATGCAGTTTAAATCCATGTTGTTCAAGGGTTACTGCATTACCAATAGGATCAGTTTCTTTGCTTTACAGTCATATAACACTGATTATTACTTCAAGCAAAACATCATGAACCTCAATGAATTAGGGCCTGGTAGCTTCATTTAAAAACAAGACAACCACCCTCTAACTAGACAAGTCAATTAAAGTCATCCGCCTTGTAAAAGGCTCCTTTTGAATGAAATCTGCCCTGATAGCAACTCCTATAGAAGGAGTAGCCCTATATAGGTGAGTCAGTTTAATACAGTGGCTTTCGAGGTAGGAAGATCAGGAGGTAAACCCCAATTATACAGAGGCCAACCTGTACATAGAGTGGGGCCACAGGACTTTATGGCAGTTCAAAGTTGAGAATAAGCAGAAGCTAAGAAAACAGAGAAATACAGAAGAAAATTATAAACCACTTAGTAGCCAAATAAAAAGCTTACACTGGAGGACAGCTAAAAATATAAATGCCAGTGAGAACTGTACTCCTGCTGCATTAGAGCCTTGTATAGTTCGTATTGACTTTTTAAACTATCGTGGTCTGCCTATTATAGCTATGTTCTAGTGAGATTCTGCTCTTTAAATCCCATTACCTACAACCATCAACCACCACCCCATCCCCCTCTGAAGTGGCTTATCCCAAACAGACATTGGAAAATTGTGTTACAGAATGTAAGAGTGAAGCATTCAAGAGTCAGGGTGGGGGAGTTGCTAGACACACTAAGGTCTTTTCCAACACCAAAGGTCATGAGTCTCTGTGATCCTACTTATGTTTTCTTCAAGGTAACACAAATCCAGATAAATTTACTATCACCAAGAAGTAGCTCCTCTTATAGACCTAAAATGGTCCTTTAAACAGGTGTGCCCTAGTTCCAACACTCTTAAGTTTTCCTCAACATCCTTATTTTAGCTTTATGACTTCACAGATTTCAGTGTTTTCTTAAGCCTCATTTCCAAAATGTCAAGTCCTTATAGTTTTAGTATTTTACACCAAGCATCCTAGCACTGCTATCCCAGTGGAATACTTTACACTACGTATACTGTATTCCGGTATTTTTCATTGAGCATTGCTCCTTGGGTATCTTTCTCTGTACATATACACCTATCTCATTCTTTTTAAAAGGCTAGTATGTTGTTCCATTATACAAATGTGCCATAATTAATAGTTCACCAGTCTTATTAGTGGACCTTGGGTTGCTTCCAATTATTTACTATTACCACACAATGCTATGGGTCAATATCTTTTTACATGCAAGAGTATGCAAGAGTAGCTAAATTATCATTGAATTATTTTAAGTTGTTACTTTCAGAACTAAGTTTAAATATGTCTTGAAAGAAGAACAAAGACTAGAAAGCACTCAAACTGTCCCTGCAGATGCAAATATAATTAGCAATAAGTACTTTTCCATTAACTATAGATAAAAGACTCGGAAATTTTTGGTTCCTCCTAGGTGCAGAGATAATGACAAACCAGGACCGTAGAGTTTTGTGGCATGATGCTTTTGATAATGTTCACGTAAAAAAAAAAAAAAAAAAAAAAAATTTAAAAAAAGAAAAAAA